ATATATAGATAGATTATATATTATATTATAGATTATATATTTATATTATATATTCCTTGAGAAGTGAACAAAAGCTGTGGCTTCGTATTTATTTGTAGAATGTTATCTCTAAATCTTGTATAAAAGCTTTATAAATATCAGAAGTAAAGAAAAAGTGCCAATGTGGAGAAGGACCCGTAGCTCCCAGTTGGTTAGTGTGAGACACATGCAATCTGTAGCAAAATTGGAGTATCTTTTTCCTTAGAAAAGTGGAAGCCTGCAGACAACATGCAAAATTACCAGTGTCCCACCAATTAATATCTGCAGCTTGTTTCCCCTACCAAACTGATTCCCCTTCCCTTTGTTAGTCAATCTGAACTCTGACTCACTCTGTTTTTTCTTCTATACTCTTCTCACCACATGCCATTTTTTGGTCTCTTTCTCTTAGAAAACACCACCAGTGTTTCCAGTTGAGGTTTCTAAACCTATGATTTGCAAATAATGGTGAAAATAGCTAAGCCTGCCTTTTATGTACACACCTTAGGACAAGAAGCTTTCTTTTCCAGATCACACCAGCCATACCTGTCCTTTTCTTTTGCAGTTCAATAGGGCCATTGTTTTAGTAAATAATAATAGTTGCCGTTGCCAGGACTTCTTTGCAAAGTGCAGCTATTTATTAAGGACTCTGTGTTACTGTTCCAAATAATTTTAATGTTTGTTTAACAAGAGTTGCTTGGCCAGAGGTTGCAAGATGCTTAGAAATTATTTCTAACCTTTTCCATTGCCACAAGTCCTCCTAGATCTGAAATACTAAAATGGACAGAGTCTGCCGGAGAGATGAACTTGTCCGAGGCTTGAGAATTCATTAAAAAGGCTCTGGTCCAGATCAGAATTTTATGCTCTCTTATACTTCTCTAAAACATTAGGTGGCTTGAATATGGAGTTAACATCAGCCATGTGCTGCTGTGATTTCAATGATTTAATATGAGTTTCCCAGGAGGTTTTTGGGGGTTTCCATTGTATTGCTGTGTAATCCATCTTTAAGAGGAAGTATTAAAAAAAAACAACTTGAAAACAACCCTCAAATAGAAAATGCCATGTGTTTTCTTGGATATGGCTTGGATTTAGTTTCAGGCATTTTCTACAATGACTTATTCTGAGTTTTCAAACAAAAATTATGGTCTTTTTTTTTTTGTTTGTTTTCCCATTCTTGCTAAAATGTTCAAAATTCAGTAACTGGGTTATTTACAATTGTTTCAGTTCAGATTGGTTATAATTATATATGTCCTTGTATATATTATATGTACATAGTAATAGGAAAGTAGAAATGTGTGTAATGTAGTGAGACAGTATATTGTTCATTATTCCCTCGTTAGCCTTTTCTTTAGTGTGAGTTTAGGTATAAAAATCATTACGAAAAACGTGTCTCTGCTGCATGCAGTTCAGAGTTGAACACAAGAGGGAAGAGGCATATTGGAGACAGCTGTGATTAGTTCTCCAATTTTCTAATATTAAACCTGTTAAGTATTTACTGTCTCGGCTAATGATGAGATGGGGAATGGTCATGAATCACCAGGGGAGGACTGGTGAGCAGTCATTTTCACATTACCCAGTTTGTAAGGAAGTTCCTTCACAAGCACTGGGGAGTTCAGTGTGTTCTAGTGAAAGACACAGCTGTGTTCTGGAGAAAGCAGATGGGATGGGGGGTTTGGTTCAAGGAACTGATGGGAAGATGGTGATACCAAGGGTCTGCAGGAGCAGTTTAGCTGAAGGGATTTATGGGGGCTGATTGGAAGATCTCCCTGAGTCATTACAAAAAGGCCTCTTCAGGTGATTTACCAGCTGCAGTAAGGGTGTCTTGAATGCGTTGGCTGTTCAGCTCTCTTGTTATTCTTCATTTGTCATCTTTGTGCACTACTAGCATGCGATTACCTTGAGGAGACCTTTGAACATCTCTCCAGAACTCTTCACTGTAAATAATGAATGCCTTGCTATTATTTATTGAAAAGGCTTTCTAGGCAGTGTTTGTCTTTTTTTGTTGCTGAAATAGTTTAAAAAAATTAAAATCCCAGTTGTTATGGGAAGTTGTATCATGTTCACCTGTGTGGCCATGTGGTATGTCCTTCACAGTGCAGTGAAACATGATTGTGCCTAATTCCAATTTGTATGGCATTCCCATTAATGATGTCTGTTTAAGACATCCATTTAAAGGCCCTTAATGTTAATTAACCGGACTATGCCAATAAAGTTCTATTAGCTTCCCCCATTAATTTAATATTATAGGCATTTAACAGATGTCTTAATTAGATGTTACACTGAAGGCTATGAGCAACATTAAAATTAGGTCATTGTCCTGAATGGAAAGTTTTTGCTATGATTTATGCTTTCTACCACTTTGTTTTTCCTTCTGGCCTCTCACAGGAAACCAAGGGATTTAATTTTAAAGAACACTGAGAGGAGTAATGGCTACTAGGTAGAATCATAACTTGAGTCTAACAACCTTTACACATCTTGTTCTTACTTCACAGATATAAATTCATTGAAAAAAGCTTCTACTACTTTCAGGTGTGTTTATCCATATTTTCAAAAGCTTTCTCAGTGTTTCTCCTAGTTTTCCATTACCCTGAAATGCCTGCATTTCCCTGTATAAAATAACTCAACTAGCAAACACTGTCTTCCCCGTCTCAAGGACAAGACTTCATATAATTGCAACAAAGATTTATTTCCATACCAACTGCTGTATTTCCTGACTTCAAAGGGGGCAGAGTAGCGGTCTGTTCTTGAAAACCAATATTGCCCATGCTGTGAATTCAGCTGATCAGTCTGGTTCAGTGATGCTGAATCTGGTCTGTGTCTTGAGGGATAGTGCCAGGGAGCTGCAGCTCTCCTGGAACCTCTCCCAGCAACAGGTCCAGAAAGGAAGTAGGCACTTTGGAGAGCTGACTGGCACAGTTAGTGTTCTCACAGGACTGGGGAGGGTTGGAGGTGGTGATGCTCTTTGTCCTTTTCATGGCAGGTAAGTGGGTTGTGTGCCCTGTGGTGCAGGTAAGAGCTGTAGCTGGGGCTGTCCCTCCCTAACCCCAGTACTAGGCTTTGGTGTGCAGTGTAGGTGAGGAACAGATATGTTCTCTTTAAGAAATGACCCTGGTTGGCTACAAACTCTCATATGGTGGCAGGGAAAACCCCTCTTCCTAGATAAGGGTCTTTCATTTGATCCTGAAATTGACTTAATAATTTAAATTGAAAGCTTCTGAAATTTACCTTTATAGCATAAATACATGTTAAGTGATCTAAATACAGGGTCACTTTCACCTCCCAAACAAGTCAAGCCTGCACAGTCGATAAGAAATTGTAATCTGGGGAATAAAAAAAAGGATCCTGGAAGTATATGAGGTTGAGGGGACTTCTTGTGTTCCACTGATGTTGTGTTCACAAACAAGTGATATAAATTAAGTACCATCCACACTAGCCTTTTTAAAATTGTGTATGTAACATGTATATTTTAATAAGAATCAAGGGGTTTTTTTAAAATTTATAACATAGACACCATGTCTAAATATATATAAAAATAGGCTAAAGCTCTATGAATAGAGGTTAAATATTCATAAAGCAATTTGTGGGTAGCTGAAGTGCAAGATGGAATGGGGGTCACTTCCATCTCTCTTACCTGGTGTGTTGTGTTTCCTGCATTCTGGCACGACAAGATACATTTACTAATACAGACATATCTGATTTAACCTTAAAGTAGTATGTTAGGAGTAAGCACCTGGTAAGCAAACAGCTTGCAGGGCTACATGACTTGTTTAGTACGTTTACATTTTGACCTGTATACATGTTAGCTGTAACACCATTAACCACAGGGAAGGAGATACTCAAGGTAAAACCTTTCGGTTGAAACAACTTGCAGATGCTTGCACCAAGCAAAGATGTTGGTGTTGGCCTAGGAGCAATAATTATAAAAGAGCAGTTGTCATCACCTACGGTCTCATTATAAGCACATAAGAGGCAGATAAAGCTCAGTTTGTACAGAAGGCAACAATAACATTTCTCACAGAGTTATAAGATACAATTTTCACTCATTATAAGCACATAAGAGGCAGATAAAGCCCAATTTGTACAGAAGGCAACAATAACATTTCTCAGTTACAAGATACAATTTTCGTTGTGCAAATTTATGATTATAAATTGAAACAGAAGTCAGGTAATCAATACTAATCATGGAAGTTTAATAAAAGCCAAAATGTTATATACAAATAACAAAATGGATACAACAAAACTCCTAACAGTCTGAGAAACTGCTTTAAAGACAACTGATACAGTCATTCTCCAGTAAGAAGAAATGCTTCTGAAATATTTCACGTAGCTATTCTCTTTTCAATCTGCCAGAAAACCTGGTCTTTAAATTGCAGGAAAACAGCAGACATTTCTATCAATACTTTTGATTTTCCATGAAATCACAGGTCAATAGTTCCTTTCAGCTTGAATTTCTTTGCAGATCGCTCACTTGCTCTAAGCTGGAACTTGCTTCCATAGATGTAGGAAATGAATCCGTCAATCTCCAAGCTAAATACATTGTTAAATTTGGGAACAACTGAAAATGCAGAAGGAAAGAAATTAACAAAAGTAGACAGATGTAAATCCCTGTTATGAAAATATACTGACATACCAAGGGATATTATTCACATGTAGACTTGAGGTTTGGCACGTTTCAAGGTTTTTACACTTTAGCAAGAGAAGAAAAATAACCAAACCCTCTAAATTTTAAACTAGAATTTCTAAAGTTAGTCCTCTTCCAGGAGCAGGCAGTAGGTTTGGCAGAGAACATCTACAGTGACTCAGATGAATGAGCCATGTGCATAATCATGTTGGGTTCACTGGAAATGCATTTTGGTTTTAATTGCTCATTTCTAATGAGACACTTTTTTGGTAAAGTATTGGGCTGTTACATGGTCAGTAAAGACATTGAATTCTGCCTCTCTATGCAAAGAACTAAAAGCACTGATATAAAACAATGTACTCGGAGGTGTATGATGAATAGTGTGTTTGAGAAATTTCTGATGACTGAAGTTGTGAAAAGCACTGAAAAAATTCTATAATATACCTTTTAATTTGTCCTCTTTAGTGATAATTTTGAAGACGTGTTTAAATTCCTGTAGAATGATTCCTGTTATCCCAACATAAGAGGGGCACTTGGATTTTGTGACTGAAAGAACAGAAGTATGTAAGGATTAGAAAATTTCAGATGCAGACAGTTTACTTGCTCTTCTACAGTTGCCTCATGTTTTTAAGAACCAGTTCACAATATTCTGAAATAATGCAATTACAGTAATCGCTGGTAAAACTTGCAGTTAATCTTTGCAACTAACGTGATTTTCAAGAGTGGCTGAAAAGTAATTAGCATTGGTAAATAGAGAAAGAATTCATCAACACATGATCTCAACTATGTGATTCTAGAGTTGATGATACTGAAAGGAAGTTAAAAATAAGCACCTGAAATACAGGAGTGTCTACTTAACTTCAGATGATTTCGTAAACAAAACCAAGCAGAATACCTGTAACGATGGCTCCATGGAGATCAGCTTTCAGCAGTTTGCTCTGAACCATATGTGGTTGCCTTGAAGAAGAGGGTGGGATCAGAGAAGAGGGAAAGAAAATGACATGGAAAGTTAGGCTTGCAAACTGTGACCATGACTATTGAAACTGTGGTCAAAGCTTACAGAAATAGTACATATCCTTAGCAAGTAACTGTGATGTTTCAGGCAGTAACGGGGTAAATCTGGAAATATCTGCTAAATCAAAACCACTGTAATTTTAAAGTATCTCAACTTACGCATCTGGTTTAAGCCCGTGACATAGGTCTCTGATATACTGTTTCCAGAGTTCATGTAGTGGTAGGAAGATGGCATATCTGCAGTAAAATGACAAAAAGTATTATACAAGAACTTATTAAAAAAAATGAACTGGTTGATTACTGAAGTAATCCATGTGTACAACAGAGTTTCAGCTAACATTTCTAAGTTTTGTGAGCTCCTCTCACAACATAACCTGTGAGGTAACCCACTCCAAACAACAGGTTTGCTTTACAAAAAAAGCCCAAACTAAGGATGCTCCTCTCTGTCAACCCAAAACGGTGCTGTGTTTTAGAGGATGTGGCTATGTCTGCGACCAAAGAGAGTTCTACTCTTTTACCTCCCCGCTTACTTCATGTTAGCAACAGCAGGGGCTTTATTCAACCTGCATCGGTTCGAGGAACTCGATGCAGAATTCTGCCTGTCTGGTCACAGGCAGTCTAACTTTAGAAACTGCAATCAGAGGTGACTGTATTTGGGTTGGATTTCTTGTTATCTTTAGCTATACAAAAGCAAAGAGAACCAGTAACAGACAGAAATGAGTTTTCCAACTACACGGACAAGAGAATGGTTTTGTTGTGGTGAGATGTCACAGGGTCTCAGACTGACTTTACACAGCGAACTGTCTGTAGCCGCAGGTACGTGCTGCTGCTTTCACACACTCATGTACCTCCCACTTCTACTGCACAAAGGAAACACTTACGGTCTTACCTTTGCTGTTCAGGTTCAATTTCAAAAAGACGCATTTCTCGCCTTTGCTTGGCAGTAAAACCTTTTGTTTTCTTCCTCTTTTGCTTTGTCTTTTTTTTGCAGTAATGCTCCAGGACTACAGCTTTCCGGGTCAGTATATCCTGGATAGCGTCATCTTTCATTTTCGGCATACTGCGCCTCAGGAAGGCATTTACAAACACTCTGGCCTCTTGTGATCCCCGAGGCTAAAGATATTTTAAAAGATACTTTAAAATATTACATTTTAATGAAATCAAGCACTTGTTGCTGACTGGTTCTGTCAAGTTGACAGAATCGCAGTAGGAATGGGAGATCTACACAAAACTAACAGTAAATGGAAGCTGGTCACGGGTGCGAACGCGCAGCGGCTCCCGGTTCGTTCACGTCTGTAACTGACGTGTCTGTCAGGGAGGAAATGACCGGTTCTGGGGTCGTTTGACGCGGCGCGTGC